TTCAGATAGCACTTGAGAAGTTCAGTAGTATAATCCAGATGTGTGAACTCCTCTGTAGACATCAGAAAATAGCATGCTCATTAAAATAGAAAATTCAATGATAGGGTGAGAGTTAAGACCCCCTGCTTTAGCACCATATTATTATGTGTGTTCCTGGGATCTCGGAAGATGAACTTTATCTTTCTTACCCCTCCCCCCCCCACCTTGCTATTGATCTGTGGTGCAAGGCAGACACCACCTGAGATGGCAGCCGGAGAGGCCTGATCCTTCTTCCCTTTAGCCTGGATTCTTAGGGTCTCTCTTGGGAAGACACTGAAAGTCACTTTGGAAACATTCTCATTCACACTCCTCATCTCCAGACAGTGGCTCAGCTTTTACAGTTTTTAAGGCCTTTAGTCATGGATTTGATAACAGAAGTCACAAATAAAGGGGTCACAGCCTTTTAATAAATAATTTGGTAAATTCAGATATTTTCATTATGAAATATCTTGGTTTTATTTTGTTTCTTATTTACCACTGCTTGCTTTTGTGAAGGCATCCAACACATTCTGAATTGGTTTTATCTTTATTGTCATCTCTGGTTTTTTTGTTTTTTTTTTCCTTTTCTATAGAGACCGGAGCTTACCCTTGGATATTAATAGTGCCAATCACAAAGACTTAACTAGCTGGTTGTTCATTTAGGATTGGATATTTTATTCATCCTTGAGGTAGGGATTTTGATGGCAGCTGATGGAATAATAAATTTGGGCCATCAGTTCTGCTTATTCTTTCCTTCTTGATAGTTGATTTTTTCCATAAAAATTTAAGCCAAGATTGTTTCAAATGTAAAGAAAGAAGTTCAGCAGTACTTACGTAGAAAGCTACTGCCATTAGTTCAAAGGACTTAAGAGTTCTCACCATTCTCCCTTTTCCTTTTGTGAAAGGAAAATTTCACAAAATCCTCTTGTGAAAAGATTCCTAGCATCTTTAACATATTTTCAAGCAGTGCCTCTCACTGACTGTGTTTGTGTGATAATCAAGGGAAACTTTGGGTTGGGGTTTCCCTAACCACAGGCAACCATTTAATTTTGAGGAGGTCGTTGAGTACGTACTTGTTCTTGGGTCTGTCTCAGGCTGCATATTGTGGGGAATGCAAAGTAATTGAATACTAGCTCCAGAATATTAGCTCCAAGAGAGCAGGGATAGTCTTACTTTTACTTACTGCATATACTAGGTACTCAATAGATAATTGTCGAATCAATAAATAATACAGATAACATACAGTCTTGTCTAACAGCTGTTTAAAAATTAGCAACTACTGTAAGACAATATTAGTTCAATACTTGTCTGAACTGAAACTAAAAATAGAAGTTTTCTACAAACAGATGGTGAGGACAGCTTCAAAGAAAATTTCATAGAGGAAGTGGCATTTAACTGGTGAAATCTATTTAGGGAAAAATAGAGGGGAAAAAACAGGGCATTCTAGGTGAGAAGAACAACATAAGGGAAGTCTTGGAGATGGGCACTGACTTGTTGCTTCATGGAACCAATCTTTTAAAGTACATGCTAAGCTTATGTATTTTTAAAAGTAAACTTAGTATTTAAGTGGCATATCTATCTTTTAAAAATGGTACAAATCATTATAATGATACAACTCATGTATAATTATGATATGGTAATTGCTGAATAGAAGACCTCTGTGAGATGATCTCAGTTTCCTCTTTTCACAAAAATAATCATGAAAATGTTCAAAAGCTATGTTTTGGTTATATCTGCCTGATATCAGAAACAAAACTCAAAACTATCCAAAGTTTAGTGTGAATTTACTGTCTTCCTCACTGCCCTGTAGAAGAAATGTTGTTAGAATGTGATATAAGTCAGGATGGGAAAGCCAGAAAAGCAGGACATTGGCTTCAGGTGCAGTGTACACACGATTCAGGTGTAGGCTAGACATCACTGGAAAATCAGGTTTATTACCATGATTCACAGTATCTATTGCTGGTATCCATTCATCCAATTTCTCAGTGTCAGGAAATCATAAAATATGTGCCATGTAATTATTCTTTGGCTGTCTCCTGTTCTCTCTTCCTGCCTCCCATTGCCAGTGGCCACTTATCCATTGACCAGACCTGGGAGCAAATGTAAAAGTCACCTAGACCAGCACACCCTGTTTCTTAACTCTTGCATTTCAGCCTCCATGGCAGTAGGCATCCTGATCTGGACAATGAAGTGTTGACTAGGTAAATCAAAGATCTTTCTGGATTTTAGGTTTTGTGGTTATCTCATGATTGGGATACCGCTTTTGCCATCAGGAGGTAATGAAGAAAATGAAGTCCTCTGGGAGAAAATGAAGTAGCTAGGTCCAGAGATATCATTTTCACATGGTATCTTGTTTAATTCCTATAACATTCCAGCTGATTTTACCTTTTAACAAAGAGTAAACTAAAAGCAAAGAATTTAAATAAGTTGAACTAAGTCACAACTCTTTAAATGGTGGGGTTGAATTTTGTTTCTTTTTTGCCTGATTCCAGCACCATGTTTCTCACCATCTCATAAGAATAATACGAACAAAAGGACATGAGAACACTTATAAAGGCAACAAACTGTTACACTGCAAATCATATTTGTTAAGGGAAATACCTAAGTTCAGTATACCTAATAGGAGAGCTCAAATTCATGATCTATCACCTGTGGTGCACTTTATAGAGTAAAGGAGTTATTCTCTGTGTAATTGATAAGCTGTACTGACATCCAAGATCCTCATTATAAATTGTGCTTCTGAAACAACCTGTCCCCATCTTTCTCCTTCTGAATGTATTCATGAGTAATCTGTTCCTAATTCCACTTTGAGCTTCATTCCTCATTGCCCGCTGACTTCTATACTGAGTGACAAGTGCCACCTGCTGGCCAAATGACAAAGCATTTTTATTTTTATTGTGTCACTTGATTGCTCAGCCGCTAATTGGCATATTACATGGATAATTGTTGTATTTTTCGGTAAACCTAGACAATAATTTTAAAACCATAGAGTTATGAAATCAATTCCTCTATATTTGAAGACTTTCCAGTCCTCAAATTTGGCCCTTTCTCAGTTTTAATTCACAAATTGAATTTCTCTTCTACTTTCTATTGTATGACAAGGACGATTGTGTCATTATTATGCAAACAGAATACAGTTTTAGTTACACTTCAGAGTTTTTTTGTGCGACTTGAAATCTACTTCATACCCTTGATCATTAAAAGACAAATCATAACTTTATTCCCTGAATTCAGCTGCCCTATATTTACCCCTTTGTACCTAAGAAATGTTAATGAGTAGTATATTTGTATGATCAAGATATTCGTGTAGTATATGACGAATTGCTTCGTATCCTCTAGGTCTTTCTGAATTAATCTTTTCTAATTAATACAAATTTCTTAGCCTACAGGCCAGTCTCTCTCTAATCTGACCCTAGTTGCCTTTCTAGCCTCAGTGTCTTCCGCTCTTTAGGGTGCTCCCGCTGAGCTGCTCCATGCCCCTTGTGCTGTCCACTTCCATGCTGCTCCAGTGCCTTGGTTCCTGCCATTTTTGTCTGGAGTGGCTTCTGGCCCTTCCCCAGTCCTTCAAGATCTCAAACTAATGCCAATCA